CGACACAGCAGAACTCGTCTTCGTCCGCGCGACCGGTAGCACAAACCGACGGACGCTCTTTGGTCCATACGAGGGCCAGGTCCTACGGAATAACGATCCTCGCAACCGGGGGTTTCCATTTAGCACCCGAAGAGCGACACAGAAAGAGCTCATGCGAGCTTTTGTCGAGCTCACCCGCGTCAAGCAAAGCACAATTGACGAGGCAGCGCTCGCTGCTATGAACTCTCCGGCTGATTCTATCCCTGCATCTGCACCAGCGAAGCCAAGGCCTGTGAAGCCTTCAAAGGAAGAGGAAGAGGCTGCTCTACACACGTCACAGATCATACCTCTGATAAAACGGTCGAAAGTACCAGCACTTCTGAACTACCTCAAGACCAACAGCATTCCGCCGACGTTCACTTTCCTGCCAGCGAACCACCACACGCCGACCCCTCTGCATCTCGCTGCATCGCTCAACTCCGCGCCCATTGTCCTCGCACTTCTGACAAAAGCTGGTGCAGATCCCACGATCATGAGCGACGATGCACGTACGCCCTTCACAGTTGCTGGAGATCGTGCAACCCGCGATGCATTCCGCGTGGCACGCCATGAGCTTGGTGAGCCAGCTTGGAAGTGGGACGAGGCAGGTGTGCCTGCTGGGATTTCTCGAGCCGACGCAGAGAAGCGAGATGCGCAGGAGAAGACTGAGAAGGCAGCTGAAAGCAAGGCTGAGTCTGAACGGCGGAAGGCTGAGACAGAGCGGGTGCGCAAAGAGAGCGAGGCTGAAGAGGCAAAACGTAGGGAGCAGCGGATCGGCAAGGGCAAGACATTGGGCGCAATGCCTGTCAAGACTGGTGCTGATCTCAGAGAAGAGGAGATGAGAGGATTGACGCCTGAGGCGCGGGCAAAAATGGAGCGTGAACGGAGAGCTAGGGCGGCCGAGGAGAGGTTCAAGCGGATGCAGGGTAACTAATCGTGCCTGTGTCTCTTGCCGAGAATTAATTCAAACGTTGCATAGCAAACACTTCAAGTGCTTTTTGACATGTTTCGTGATCTTACTCGTCTATGCCTACACTTATACTACAACGCACCCAACTCCTTCAACTTGCTAATCATGCCATCCACATCCTCAACTTTGACTCCTCCCTTCCGTGGCGGCGGCTCCGTAACCTTGACCGTCTTCAACCTCAACTCCGTATCCAGCCCATAGTCGCCCAAACTCTTCTTATCCAGCTTCTTCTTCTTCGCCTTCATGATATTCGGCAAACTCGCATACCTCGGCTCATTCAGCCTCAAATCCGTCGTGATAACCATGGGCAACTTCGCCTTGAGCGTCTCGACTCCACCATCGACTTCACGAATAACCTCGACCGTTTCATCCTTGATCGTGATCTTGCTCGCCTGCGTCGCCTGTGGCCAACTCAGCAGCCCCGCCAACATCTGCCCCGTCTGCCCCGCGTCATCGTCGATACTCTGCTTTCCCAAAATGACGAGGTTGCTCTTATTCTCCTCGACGACCTTCTTGAGCAGCTTGGCGACGCCGAGCGGCTCGAGCGCATCTTTCTCCTCGACGACGACGTGCACGCCGCGGTCGGCGCCCATGGCCATGGCGGTGCGCAGGATGTCCTGAGCCTTTGGCGGGCCCGCGGAGAAGGCGACGATTTCCTCGACTTTGGGGGCGGAGGAGTGGTGGTTCTTTTGTTCGCGCAGGCGCACAGCTTCTTCAATGGATAGCTCGTCGAAGGGGTTCATGGAGTGTTTGACGTTTGCGGTTTCGACGGCGGTTTGAGCGCGGTTGACGCGGGGTTTGACCTGGACATAGCTGTTAGTCATGCCATAGGATTCGTTGTAGATGTCATGTTCGTCATTGGATTTGTGGCATTGGGAAGAAGGCGATGATCTGATTTGGTTTAGATATTTGATGGATGTGATGGACGTACTGCATAGTCAATGACCCGCTTCACAGGTACTAATATCCGTAGGCTCGACATTGTGGGTGGTGTTGTGTCAATCCCTCAGTTCGTGGGCAAATGTTGGACATGCACGATCGGAACTGTACTTTGGCCAGGGTGGGGGATAGCATCGGAGCTTCGATCAACTTAGCCGAGGCGTTTCCGTCACGGTTCACCACATCTTGGCGGCCACGATGACATCCTCAAGTGCTGGGAAGCTTGTGAACACCATCATAACACAACTCAGTTTATTTCTTACGAACCAATTGATATCGTAGAGGCCAGCGGTTGTAACTTAGGTCGAACGCGTGACGGCGCTGCTTTGCTTCGTAAGCATTCTGCAGGCAAAGGATGAGTGACTAAGTAATTTCAGTAAAGTGCCAACCGATACCAATCAATTCTGTAGTTCCGCATCAAGTTCTTCAAGATTCACATTCTCGTGTCTGTATTCATTGCAAATTGCACCTCTCCTCATTGCATCAAACACTTGGGCAGACGCAGCTCCGAGCTGGACCGATCAACCAGACACAAGCACACAAAATCATCTCTCCTTCTCCTCAGGCCCGCAATTCATAGTTCGCCATGCCGAATCTCCTTGTCCTCTCACTTGATGGCTTCTCTGCCTCCTCTCGACAAATGTACCCCCAGCTTTTCTCCAAGATCCTTTCGCGCACCGCTGTTCATGAATCACTTACAAGTGACGACGCACTCAACTACATTGGCTCGGGATGGCCGAACATCATACTTTGTTCTGATCCTTCGCTTGCAGACATTAAGAACAGAGACCTCCTGGAAGCGGTAGTTGATTGGATTAAGCACGGCTGTACGATGGTCTGCATGGGCTTCTTCGCCTCAACCATTGAGTATCCCATCATGGACAACCTGTTCAAAGAGCACTTTAAGCTGAGATGGCGAGTCGCAGCATATACAACACATACTGTGCGCCTACAGCATAGTGTGGACGAGAATATGATACGAAGGGCGAGTCTCGCACCAAAGCTCGACGCAAATGCTGTCTTTCTTGGCCATGTTCCGGCGACAGAGGTAGTGTACGCTGGAGGTCCTGCCAATGTAGCATATGCTGCTTTCGCTAGGATTGGGTTGGGCAAGCTGGGTTATGTTGGAGATGTTAACTTTGGTGAGGAGCCAGAACGACTAATAATGGCGATGTGTCATTTGGATCGACCTGAAGACACAATGGAAGATATGGATGTCTGAGCTGCGAACCAGCAATTACTACAACGGAGACCTCGCTCACGAACTCTGATAGTGGCGATTTGGAGAACTGCCTATCTCGGAGATAGGGAGATTACCCCGCAACATTGGATATGACGAAGCTCCTGCCTTGTTTGGCATGAAGATAGTGGACGTATATCGACATAAGACCTCATGCTCAGAACATACAACGACTTCATGAATAGAGGGCCGTAACAACAAGTATCTCCCACCAGATATCGCTCATAGCCCGTGGCAGCAACCAAAATGGCATCCACCAATTCCACAGAACAACATCGCAAAGCTGTCATCGGCTCTCCATCCAATTTCTGGCTCCATTCCTCGCAAACGGGATTCGATCTTACACATCCATCGTCACCATCCGAACCCACCACAGGTCCCAAGGTGACCATTCAAACCACCAACTCGCCCATCACGATATCCCCCAGCAAATCTGCCCTCGTCATAATTGACATGCAAAACTTCTTCCTCTCCTCAGCTTTCGGCCGCAAGCAAGGCGCCGGCCACGCAGCGTGCACACAACTCATCGAGCACGCCATTCCTGCCGCCCGCAGGGCTGGCATCCGCATCATCTGGCTCAACTGGGGTCTCTCCGACGCAGACATGAAAACGCTTCCACCAGCCGTCAAACGCACCTTTGGATTTTACGCCCTGCCTGCAGACACGGAGCTGCAGCCCGGTGGCGCTGCATTCGACGACCACCCAGCCAGCGTCAGCGTCGACAGGAACGGCGTTCCGAGCGCAAAAGACTCTGCATATAAAGGGCTGGGATCAGATTGCGGCACGCTCACACTGGATGACGGCAGCACCGTCGACGCAGGAAAACTCCTGATGCGCGATCAATGGAACGCAGCGCTCTACCCCCCTCTCGACTCAATCTACACCGACGGCACCAAACTTCCACACAACGCGGACGTGTGGATTCACAAAGACCGCATGTCTGGCTTGTGGGGCGCCAAAACTGCTTGTGAGGAATTCCTGGAGAAAGAGGGGATCAAGACGTTGTTGTTTGCTGGCGTGAATACCGATCAGTGTGTAGGTGGCACATTGACGGATGCGTTTAGCAAAGGGTATGACTGCGTGTTGTTGAGTGATGGGTGTGGGACGACGAGTCCGGTGAGCGCGCAGGAGTGTTATGAATATAATGCGGCAAAGACGTATGGATTCTGTACGACATGTGACGCGTTAGCGAAGGGGGTGGAGGGGATGGGGAAGTGAGGTAGTGTGAATGTTGGGCTACCATCTTTTGATTGGAAGCTGTAGACACAGTGTTTTGCAGTCTACGAGTGATAATTAATGATACGATTGACTCTCCACGTATTGCCTAATGCTCGGATACCTCATCAGAGTCTGAAAGGCATGTGGTCTAACGGTCAAAGCGCCCCGTTTGGCAGCAGGTGCTGCCAGTGCCATCAAAGGATCAGCAAAGTATCCGATATGTCTAGATGCAAGTTCGAGCCCCGCTGTGTTCAACTGTAATATTTGTTGACCTCACCGCGCTGCATTTGCATCAAACGGCTGTGCTTGAAAACGCAGACGGGGACGACCAGTTTTAGTTCATGACTCCTATCCTCAAGGTGTAAGCTTTCAGAGGTAAGCTCACGGCACATACTCAACGGCATTTTACTCGTCACCTCTGGGTCCGGCACTTCACTTCGCATCCCTCCCTTCCCACAGTCCAAGGTGAAAGTGAAAGACCCCAAGTACTAACAAACGCACACTCACCCACCCAACCTCCACTCTCATTCATCCATAACAGCAATAATGTCACCCACCATATTATCTCTATATTTATATAATTCAAAGCACAATCACCTCATGAAACAATCTCCAGGACATGTGGTCTAATGGGTAAGACGCTCTTGCCATATAAGATGACGATCGAAGGGGCGTGCAGGCACGCATGTACGTCCGCTTGGCGACAGAGATGCGAGTTCGAGTCTCGCCGTGTCCAATTCTTTTTGGTCTTTTAGTATCTTTTTGCTGCGTGGGGAAGTGAAAGGAGAGTGGAAGGAGAAGGGGAGGGAGAAGGTGGAGAGGACGAGTACATAGGCATATATGCCTAGAAGTATCCATTGGTGCTACACGTGTTGGGTGCATAGAAAGCTGCACGGGTAGCACTTTCTGTTACTCGAGGCTTCTTCTCCTCACAGATGCTATTTCGTCATTTCATGTTGATGTTCTCTGCATGTATTCTTCACCTCCGTCCTGGCCTCTTCGGCTTGGCAAAGCCCTTCTTCTCCTCCTTCTCCTCCTCTTTGAATTCCTCCAGGATGACCGCCTCACTCACTTCATCCGGGTTCGTCGCCTCCAGCTTCTTCGCAACCTTCAACCCACCTTCGTTTTGCGCAAGCCCCACCACATTTCCCCGACTCGCAGCATATAACATGCGCTCTCTGATCTTGGCGGCGCTTGGACATGTCGAGATGAACACAATCGACCCTGCCGTGTCGTTGTGTCTGTAGAACGCATACCGCGGCTCCTTCGTATCAAGCTGTGACGCAATCGTGGCCGGCGTAGCAGATGTAGACGAGACAAGCTCGAGCGTCTCGTTCGCGGGGTTCATCCTCAACTGCACCAGATTGTCACCGCCTGCCTGTCCCAAGCTCTGCAAAGCCTCTCCAATCCCTCCTTCAGCCCTGATCGCAATCCTGCCACCCTGGGCCAATCCCTGGCCTCTCGTCCCTCTGCTCTCCAACGCCTCCGCGTCCTTGATGTCCTGCAAGCTCTGTTCTTCCGCTGTCAATGGATTGTCCTTTGCTTCGTGCGCAAGATGCTTTTCCCAGCCCTCGGCCGTCAACTCGGCTGCCTCGGTCGTGAAAATGCTCTCTGGAAAGTGTTCACCGCCCAGCTCGCGCACCAGCGTCAGGCGCGTGCTGGCGAAGAGCATCTTTTGCCGCACGGGCGCGGCATTGGGCACGTAGGTTACCGCAACGAGGGATTTGTCGGAAGAGGAGAGCGAGTCGGCGCGCCGGAGGAGGATGTAGAGTGCGGCGTTGGGCGTGATGTGGGAGGAGAGGGCGGAGAGGTCGCCGAGGAAGGAGGATGAGGCGGAAGGGATGGAATCGCCGGGGACTATAGTCTCATTTTGGATGGTGGCGAGGAGGCCGCGCTGGGAGGTAGAGGTGATGAGGCTTCCGAGGGCGGTTTTGAGCTCCTGCGAAGCTATGGGGGGATTAGCATGCTGTTGTTAGAGTTGGAGGGCTGGGCTGAGTGTACCAGCAATTCCGGACTGCATGATGGCTGCAGAACCTCTGTGGATGTTATCGAAGACAGTAGGTCTGACTTGAAAGTGTGTCGAATGTGGATGTAGGCTGTTGCACTGTCGAGCTCGAAGCTTGACCGATGTTTACGCTGACGACGTGGGGTGACGCTTTAGTGGGGCAGGTACACGGAGCTACTTGGCGACCTGCCATCTGGGCTTCACTACATGCGCATTGGAACGTCTTTGATGAACTTGAGATATTCTTTTGATAATAAATACAGCGCTATACTGCCATAAAAATGCAATGCATAGAGCTACATGGATATCAAGCCTCTCCATTCGCTCCAGTCATTTGGTATTACTCCTCGTACTGTCCACCAGGTATCATCTCCCTGCCTTTCTCTAGCACGCCTTTGAGGTATTCGTATACGGTGAACGTAACAGCCTGGCCAGGTGCAACACGCATGACGCGAGGTGTAATTCCCTTGTAGAAACTGCGGATGCCCTCCTGTTTCCACATTTCACTATTCAAGTCAGCATTATATTCCAGGAGAGCAAATCAAACAAGATCACTTACTTTGCAATATTGACTATCCTTTTCATGGCACTCACGCCCGGCTCAGCTGGAGTCTTCTGCAGCCTCGTCTTGATTGTATCAATCGGCGCATTTGTGAAGGGACCCACAGCACCAGAGATAAGTCCGATCAGCGACGTCTCGTAGCTAGGAAGATCGTTCGTGCCGTGGTATTTCTGAAGGAATGCCCTCAGTTCCGAGTAGGCAGTGAAGTTGGCAGCCTGATTTGTTCCTTGTCTCAACGCAGTGAGCGAGACACCACGCCACAGCGTTCCTGCGCCTTCTTCCTTGATCACGGTATAAAATGCGTGTGCAGCGTTTCGGTACTTCGGTACGTCCAGTGGATCGGCCATCGAGTGATGTTGCGCTTGTAACCGAATCTTGATGACCTCCATGGGTGTGACGACGAGGACAGCTTCGGTAACACCAGCAGAGAGACCAGCTACAGAGTATGTCAGCAATCGTGTTTGTACAGTGCAAGAGGATGGCGTGTCTCAGCATACCCAGGAATGTAGATTTGGAAGTGACCACGCCATTGCTGTCTGCCAGCATTTGCTTGTACCATTCGTAGCTGGTGAATCGAGTCGCCATTTTGGGAACAATGCCTGTAAGCACTGCGCCCAAGCCCTTGTACAGTCCCAGAGCAGTCTCCCGCTTCACAATTTCTTTTCCAGTCGTCAGAAATCCGCGCTTTGGTGCCTGTGTTCCCGCGCGTCAGTTCTGTATTCCCATCTGTGCCGTATTGGAGCCAAGGACTCAGAAAGGTAGAGTGACATACTCCTGGCGCACGAGCTCGTCTTGAAAGCTGCATTCGAACTTTTATGGTATCTGACTCCATATTAGTTTCTGCCGCAACATCCACGACCGAGGTCTAGCTCACCCAGAGGATGGCACACGAGTGCCTCCATCATACCTGCACCTCCACCAGCTGGCAAAGAAGTCAGTACTCTCTAAACATACCAAATTCTCCAAACCCGTGTCCGAAGGCGTACCGATCAGATTCGTAGCCGCCGAGGCAGGCTTCTTGCCCCCAGGGCCAGCCGTTGACTTCGCCGACATGTTGTGTGTATGTATTCAGACGCGAAGGTACACAGCGCGTGACACAGCAATCGCAAAGACTGAGTCTGAATGTTTTCTCGGTCGCAAGGATGGTGCAATGACGCGCCCCAAGAAACGGCGATCACTTTTGTCGCAACGAGCTCCTGACCCTAGTTTTTCCCCAGCTATTCCAAGACCCTCGGCTTTTGAAAACGGTGACGAGAGACAAGACAGAGAACAAAGCAAGTCAAGAAAAGGTATGACGAGATACGAGCTCAGAGTCCAATGTAGAGACCAAGATCAGAGGAGCCGAAGAATAGAAAAGATCAGAAACCAGTCACACCCACATAACCTTTTCCCTTCGAGCACATAGCTCCCCTAAAGCTACCCGCGGGTGTGTTAGGCTCGACCCATAGCTGCGAAAGCCTCGGCCCTTTGAGCACCACATTCGCGGAAGTTAGCCGGACACTTAGTCCTAGGCCCTGGCCCATCTCCACAAAGAAAAATTATGGCGGGTGCTGGCTCGTCAGGTGCGCGCAGTTTCCCCAGAGCCACTCTTCCCCGTGGACGAGCGGAGCTGGATCATCGTACCTCTCGGCCGGCCATCGGCTGCTGGAACTACGTTGCCGAGCTGCCCAAGAGTCACTGTGTGTGGCTGTATTGCTGCTTGGCTCTTGGGGATATTCGTGACTGGTAGGATTAAACTTATTTCTTGCGCGCATGATCTTCAGCACTTGCATCTTTCACGAGCGAAAGGTGCTGATGCGCAATTGGGTTTGCATGTGGGGTAGAAGGCATGTGAAAGATGACGTTGAACGACAGAACCCCGGAAAATGCGCCGCTGCAGCGCCCCGAGTCTGGCCGACGGAGCACGTGCGCATGATCCGCGAATAAGAATCGGAAATTCCACGTACTCCAGCTCACGATAGTCATGCCGTGCCTAGGCTCGTGATAGCATCTTGCTCGCAGCGGTCTGGAGTTCCGAGGTTGTAATTTTGATTTCCAAATGGATTACTTCGAGAGCCTTCATATGAAAGTAGTTGGGTATATTCTCTACAATCTCGTCATGTCATACGACGCTCCTTTCGGCCAAAATGGCTTAAGCAAACCTCACTTCGTTAAACAAGCTAGCTCTGATCTGTACCAGAGCAACAAGCTCTAGAACAAATTCCTGCAGTATAACCACATTCGTGATGATGTGCAGTAGACTCGCTTCGCGCACATCATCCTTCTCCCCTTCATGTTCGGCTTCAGGAGAAGGTTCCTCTGCATCATCTTTAGGCGGTGGTTGGTATTTCGAGAGTAAGACTTCTATCGTTTGCGCGCCAGCAGGTCGCCGGAAGCGAATCCGTCTTTTCAAGAAATCCGAGTGTTTCAGTCCCGCGAAATTTGCGTCAATATCTGAAAAGAGAGTAGTCTGTCGCTTTGCTGCTTGCGGGGCTGGAAGCGGCGACAGCCCTCTGGACGGGGAGCCCACGAGCGTTTGTCCACCAAATTTCGATGGCGCAGGGGACGAAGTAGGAGTGTTGCGTTGCTCCGCCAGAGCCTCTTTCCTTCCGCGCGGCGATTGTGTTCTTGATGGCGTTGTAGGATTTTCCAAAACATGCTTGGGGATCTGCGGCGTCCAGGTACCTGCAGGGGTGTCTGTGGGAGGTCGTACAGGTTTCTGCTGTGGTGTAGACATCTTCATGGCATCGTGCATCTCTTCGTGAAAGCGGAAAGCACTCTTGCGATTAGCTACATGCTCGTCCCAATCCTGTATGTCGTTTCGCAGCGCTTCCACTTGTGCTTGTAATTGTTGCAAGCATGTGAGCAATTGCGGTGCTGCTGATGGCTTCCATGACGGAGCACGACTTGCCAAGAGCATGTCTCGGAAGCTCTCATTGGTGAACTCGGTGGGTTCTAGGCCCATGTCTTCAAAGTGGTAGTCTGCAGGATCGACCGAGAGCCATCCTTCGAGCCGAAGTTGAGAACAGCTGCCCAAGCCGATAATTGTCTCGGTAAGAGCGAGATTTGTCTCAATGTCGTTTGTGAGGAATGTAAGTAGGAGGTCGATGAGAGACTGAAACAAGGGGTCTTCCGGTAGTAGGTAATGCGGGTCAACTTCCCTGGCTGCAGTCTCGGTTTCGTCAAAATA